ACCCAACCACTTTTTTTGAGCTTGAAATATAACCGAGCCGAACACGAGCTGGGCTTGGGCTCGCTCGTGTTCGGTTCGTTTGCACCCCTACTCGCAAGAACTTCTTGGGCCAACACAACTGCAGCTGCCCAAAACAGACCCTAAATGGGAAGAATACAACAAGCTTGCCTACAAAAGTGGATGAAATTGTGTACCAAAAAAGTGTTGTATTGCAAAAGCATGCAAATAACACACCGTAAAGTAGGTAAAATAGTAATTATGAAAGGTGCAGGAAATGTCATAATTCACTCATAAAGCAAATGTTGCATCATACATTTTTTAGCGATTCATGATTTTGATTATTGTGTTGCCCACTGTTAAATGAGACGTCACTTTTAGATATAATATTTGAATTTATGAGTTTTTTAGAATAATGAAAATAAATTATGTTTCGTGTATGAGTTATTAAACAATTCATGATTTTGATTATTGTGTTAACCACACAAATTGTTATAGGTATGTTAATCTCTCAAAATGTAAGTTAGAGATCAATTTTTCTTTCTTTCCCTTCAAGAAAAAACAAGGCATTATTTGAGATTAATACTCATAGCGTCTTACTTTTAAATATATATACTTGTATATACATATAATGATGATAATAATAATAATTTAATAAATAACAATAATTTAATTGTAACGATGATAATAATATGGGTTGATATGTTTGCGCTTAATTTAGTATATGAATAAAGCTAAATTCATTTTTATTTAAATTGTGTAGAATCACTCATTACATCTTCTAATTCCTAGAAATTTTGTGATTGCCGTCTTGAGGTAAGTAACTGCTGTTTATTGGAGGATGAACGTATCCATCTTAGTTAGTGGCGTTAACCCCTGTTAATTGTAGTGGATTCATAAGTTGTGAGTCATGCCATTGTTATTTCAAATTCTACTTATCATAAGCATTAATTATTGCTCATCATGTTATCATTAGTCGTCCTAAATTATTGATGCTTGGTTCCTACATATTTATATTAATCCTGCAATATGTGGTTTTTTTTGCACTTGTATGAATTTACATATGCCATATCGTGGGTCTGCATGAAATGTTATGATGTTAATATGTCATACATTTGGAAACAATCTGATATACTTGTGTGTCATGATATACAAGTAGGTAGAAGACACCATTAAAGTTACACTAGCCGGGCCAGCAGACCTATTGAGTAACGACTCTATAGGAAATCGTCGGGTTACCTTAGGTTGGTATTTGATTTTTTTAAATTTTGAGGATGTCTGTTAAAATCGACTATATAAATATAAAATAAAAACGTAATAATAAAAAATTTGATTATATGTTTGGTTTACCACTCACTTTTTGCTTCAAGATGTATATATGCACGAAACACTTGTCTTTGTTTGTTGTCTATATTGCATGCCTCATTCTCATTGTTGTTTATGATTTAATAGATAACTATTATTTACTGAGTTTTTAAAACTCATTCTTTATATTTTTTCATAACATGTTCTATTCAACCATCAGCAGTACCGTCTCCACCACAGCAAGATTTTAGATTTTTTTTTTCCACAATATTTGTTTTAGCATTTATTTTATTTATTGGGTCTAGGTAGTTCTTCCATGTGGTCCTGTATGTTTTTATTCAACAAAATTTTTATTTCTTTCAACACTAATAAATTTTACAGTTTATTTCATTTTTAATATTATTTTTTTAAAAAAATATAAAATAAGTTGAATTCATTATTTGATGACCCGCATGGTGGGGGTGTACCAATTTCCAGACGAGAAAAGTGCAAGGGCAATAGACACGCTTATAAGTAACTTGATCTGCGAGACGACAGGTCCCCTCCGACTGTTTCGATTTGTAAAATAAATTAAAATATGCATAAATGCGCAAACTCCCGGGGACACCATTGAAGTCCCGAGGCAATTTCCGACCATCACCCGCCCGCCTTCCTTTTCTCCCCACGACGCTTCAAGGTAACCCGGTAATCCCGCGCAGCAGTTCTCTATCTACGAGATTCCTCAACTTCTCATTCAACAATGGCCAAAGCAAAGGGCATCGTCGGTTTTTGGTGCGGAAAGATGAATTCCGATTCCGGGACATCAAATGGGCGTTTTTAAGGGTTACAAATTTCACCACCAGTTTCCTTCTTAATGGAGGTGCATTTTGTAACTCCTTAACGGCCAATCTCGCACCTTTAAGAAACCATGGATGTGCTTAGGATAGCGTGGTTTTCTCCTTTCAATCGGAAATCTGAGAGAAGAAGATGGGGGCGAGTCAGTGGACGACTCTGGTCAGGCAGGCCAATTGGGTTAGAAGACAGCCTTTGAAAACGAAGGCGGTTTTCGGCGCTGCTGGTGCGGCTGCTGTACTGCTGTTGCTTTATGTCTTCGTTAACGATTACAGGGTCATTTTCTTCACAGCCGAGTTATCTCAGGCGGCAGGCATCTCGTTCCTCATCTATAAGCTCATTAAGGACCGCACTTGCGCCGGTGAGAACTTACACTATTTTCTATGATGGCAAAGAGATCTGAAATTTTTTTATTTACCTTATTTCATACGCTGATTAGTCTGAAAACTGATTGCAATGGGGATATAAATTTCCTTATTCCATTTTCTTTCCGATAAAGTTAAAATTTTGCATCTTATTATTATTTCCTCTCTCTTTAATTTGATTCCGAACGTGTGTAGAGATACTGACTACTCCATCCGATGTTTTGTTGAAATTGTGAAAAGTTCTTTTTTTATTTTAATATGGCAAGACCTTATTTTGTTGCTGAACATAGTTGATGCCATTGAAGAAATTCCTCAAAAATCATGTTGTCTCTGTATTACATTGTTTACTTTTTATATATTTTGTTATTATTCACATTTCAACTATTTCGAATAATGTACTATTTAATAAATATTAAAGTCTTTTAGCACCTCTTAAATCTTGCAAATTATTGGTGATTGCAAACTCATAAAAGCTTATGCCACACAAGCTTACATTTTACTTCTCTATGTGCCAAACATTTAAGTTTACACTTTGGTTAGTGCTCATTCTATAACTACATATTGCACCCCGGTAGTCTCAGCGGACTACAAATGTTGATCAGAGTCACATCGGAATGTTTTTTCATGATGTTTGTTATTAAAACATGTGTTCTGTACAAAATTTTGAAAAATGCTTGAAATCTACAAGTGTAACTTATTCACATTTTAGATTTGTGTATTTTTGACCTTTCAAGTAGCAATGCTTTATTTGGTTCTACATGGACTTGTCTGGTTACTTAATTTGTTCATAAAATCCAATAAGAAATAAACTTGTTCACCTGTTATAGAGAGTACACAAGAGTATTTTTTTTGTATAATCCACACCAGTGTATTTGTAAGTTATGTTTACATCTTATCAATATATTTTATTTATTAATGACTTTTTGTTAATTATTTGCACTTTGTCAATCAGTTTGAGGGGGGCGCTTATGCTTTAAGAAGGGAAAATGCATTGTTTGTCTAGTTCTACTAGCTTGTTGGTGAATTTGTTGCTGCAACAAGAATTTCTCATCATATCGTTGGTTACAATTTGCAATCAGTTTATGAACATGAGT